AGTCTGGAGGCCGCCCCTCCCTGCATCCCATGCTTGAGGGGTGGCCAGGTGAGGTCAGGGGGGAGCCTTGGGCAGAGAGGCCCAGGAAGCTGGGAGGGGAGGGAGAGGGTCAGCCGGGAGGAGGCCTGGGGAGCGGGAGAGGGCGTCGGTGTTGGGCTGGAATGTTGGTGATGGAGACAAATGGCCTGGAATTTGCCGGTATCAGGGTTCTGCCCAGAAGCCAGAGTTCTGTGCTCTCTGGAGGGCCGGGTGGTGAGGGTGGCCAGTTGGGTCCCAGGAAGTAGGCAGAAACCGTGGGGCAGGAGCTGAGGGTCTCCTTCCACGGAGCCTTGGGAGCCGAGCACCTGCCACCCGCCCCCTGCCCCGCCATGCTTCCGCTGGCCACGCTGTAGGCCGGCTGCGAGCCAGGCCCCCACCTCCGCAGGCCGAGGCCCTGGCTTAGCTTCCCCTTGTTTTGGGGGGGACAGCCAACACACAGGCTTCAGGCTCTACAAAACCAGGGTCCCATCTGGGGCAATACGGAAACTATAAAAACCAGCAAAATAACACGAGGACCCCTGAGCTCTCACCACCCTGGTGGACAGATGTCCACACTGACTGTCCGGCCTGGTGCTGGACAGACACAGTGGAACCACCCCCGTCTCTCCCGTGGTCTTGCTCAGCTCGTCGGTGGTTCTGTTTCCCGCTGGACGGCCCCACACCGCACGTCCGAGTCTCCCATTTCCTTGGTGACAGGCGAGGCCGAGCGCTTCTCATCCGCTCCTCAGCCGCTGGCAGGCTCCTGTCTGTGACTTACTTGTGCATGTGGCGTCTGCCCGTTTTTTCTATTAAACTTTTGGTCGACAGTAAGAGCTGCTTGTATGTGGTGTGGCCGGCCAGGTCTCTGGTCTTCCTCAGGCTTGAATGCCAAGGTGCGTGGTGACCCGTCGTGGTCACGTCCTTGTGGCCTGTGGCTCTGTGTCCCGAGGAAGTGGCTCCATCTGCCCATCACAGGTGCTCCGTCTTCTCCACGTTTTGAAGCGTCAGTTTCCACGTTTCAGTCCATCTTTCATTGGAAGTGTGTTTTTAGTTGTAGTGTGCGGTAGGGACCCCGTTTCCTCCTTTCCCATGCGGATTGCCAGCAGCCTGGCCCCGTGTGAGTGCTCTCTCCCCCGCCCCAGGCCCTGGAGACGCCATTTCCACCGTGTCAGCCAGCGCGGCCCTGTCGCCTGGGGGAGGGTTCAGGCTGCCACCCTGTCCTCTCCGGCCGGCCGGGGAGGGCTCAGTCCCACCTCCAGGTTCTGGCTGTCCCTGCGTATTTTGAGATCTTACTGGCTCGTTTCTCTGCCTCCCCAGGTCGGGTATGGAAATGGGTTTATGCTGGAAGCCAGGGGAGGGGAGGGTTGCTGTTCCTAGTTTCAGGCCACACAGAGGAGGTGGGAATGTTTAGCTTCTCCAAGGTTTCGCTTTGGGCCTGGGCGTGGGGGAGCGGACGAGGGCTGATGGGTCTCTGGGGACCTCATCCTGCGTTGCCCATCACCTGCCCTGGGCCCCACCTCCATCTCTGGTGGCCTTGACATGCCACCTGCCATCTGTCTTGGGTTCCCAACAGACAGACCGACCCCTGTTCTTGCCCTCCCATTACTCACAGGGACGGAGGATTGGGGGAATCGGCCCTCCGCCCCGGACAAGAGCTAGCGCTCTGACTGTAACATCAGTGCTGGACAGAGGCTGTCTCCAGGCGGAGGGATGTGGTCGCCTGGAGGAGCGGAGCATGCGTTGCTATGTGTGTGTGCATGTCTGTGTGCACCCACGGGTGCGTCTGAGTGTGTGCACAACTGCACAAGCACCGGCCCGTGCTGGCTGCTGCTGCTGGCTGCCCGCCCGTGTGGGTCGTCAGTACCTCTGTGGCCTCCCGGACTCCTGGGAGGAATGATGGGGACTGATGGGGGCAGGGCCTGGGAGCTCAGGGATGGTCCAGGACCTGGCCCAGTGGACAGGACCGAGACCTCCAAGGTGGGCTGTCCTGTGCCAAACACCCGCCTCACCTGTGCCCTCCCTTCCCCAACAGGGCGTCTGTATCTGCCCATGTTCAAGCAGCAGCCCCAGAAGCCCCCGAAGTCCGTGGACAAGTGCCAGAAGCCTAGGTGTCCGCAGTACCAGAAGAAAATATGCTCCAGCTACAGCCAGGAATGAGCAGTGACCGCCAGCTGCCCGAGGCTGAGTGGGCCCCAGGCTGCCCCAGTGCCCAGGGAGGGAAGGAGCTGGGCACCAGGCACCCTGGGCTCTAAAAGGGGTGAGGCAGGCCGGAGGTGACTGCTCTGCAAGTATCCAGAGGCCCCACTGCACCCAGGCCAGCAGGAGCTGCAGTGCCTGGGGGACCTGTCTGTCCTGCGGGGGGCCCTGCCCCTCACACCCAGGGGGCCCGGCTCTTGGCTGGGCCCTCGGCACTCCAGGCCCCGAGAAGAGGCTTTGCTGAGTGTCTACCAGGCTGCTGGTGTGGGCCGTGGTGCCCAAATAAAGGGATCCCACAGCGGTTCCTGCGTCTGTGTCAGCTTCCAGCCTCCGGCCAAGGGGCCAGGCCTTGCATACAGCAGCACCCAAGGGGATGGGGGGTGAGGACAGGGCTGGCAGCTTTGTCCCAAGACCGTGCAGGACTCTGCTTGGAGTGGCAGGGTGGCTGGGGCAGGGGTCTCTCTGGTGAGAGATATGAAACATAGTGGGGCTCCAGGGCTGGACTGGACCATCAGAACATGCCACCAGGCCTGGCCTCAAGACAACACTGGTCCCCCAGCTCCGGCCTCCTGGGCATCTGAGGCTCCTTGGCAGGAACTGGAACCTTCCCAGGCATGTGGGAGGGCATGTGGGTCCAGAGCAGGGGGGCCCAGCCTTTTCCTTCTCCAGGGCACTGAGTCCTCCTGAGGTGGGACAAGCACATGCAGACCCTGCCCCCTGCAGCCTTGGGGCCCCAGTGCTGGGTGCAGTCCCCCTGCCCCCACCCAACACCTCCCAGCAGCCCCTGAGCTGCGCCCTGCTGTGCACAGCCCACGGGACAGGCTCGCTGCCCGGCTGTGCAGGGACGGATCACAGCAGCCACACGAGGTCTCCAGCCTTTTATTCATACAAGGACACAAGAACACACATCACCTGCTGACACCACTGCCTGGCCAGCCCCTTCCAGAGACCCACGTGGGGTGGGGATGGAACACAGACCCCGTTGGGCCATCCCCAGGCAGCACAAGTGCGCTGTCCCGGCTCGCTGGTCACCACCCAAGACCTCAAGTCCAGCTGGCCCTCGCCCACAGGGAAGGAGGCCCCAGGCCCAGCCCCCACCCGACACTCAGGGTTAACATGGGGTGGGCGTGCCTGTGGGACTGGGCTGCCTGGTGGACCACAGGCTGGGGGCCTGGACCCAACACACGAGGACAGTGCCAGGGGTCCTGACCAGCAGCCAGAGGCCTCCCCAACCCCGAGGGAAAGCAAAGCGATGCTAAGCAGCTTGTTTGGGGCCCCGGTGCTGCCTAGGACGGCCGTCCCTGCCCACACTGGCTCCACATCCCCCGGACCCTCCGGCCTCCCTTCTCCTTGCTTGAGCCCCTCCCTGGCACGGTGCCAGCCCCCTCCCCAGGGCTGGCAGCAGCCAGGGCCCAGGAAGGAGGGCCCCCAGGCCCGCATGAGCAGGGGTGCACCCAGATCCTCGGCCCACAGGTTGTCCTTCAAAAGCTATTTGTGAGGAGCTGAGAAAGCAGCTCCCAGTGAATGATGGACGCATCTGTACATGTCTGCACATCTGGAAAAGCCCTTTACTGTCACAGCTCCCCAGGCTCCCTGCAGCTGGTGGGGTCCAGGCAGGGACCCGGGTGTCCCCCCACCTGCAGTGCCAGGACTCGCTGGCCCTGAGCTGAAGTTTCACCTGTCACTCAGCATCCCTGTGGCCAGGTGACGACCATGGGTCGCCTCTAGCCCTGGCCCATCTCCCCCTGAGCTGGCACCTGGCCCTGGGTCTGGATGGGGACAGGAGGGAGGACGGTGGCCAGGCTGCTCCTCCCCACACCTGGAAGTCCTTGTGCAGGCCATGCACCGGCCTGGGCGTGAAGGGGATGCCCACCTTTGCAGAGGGCCTGGGCCTGCTCTCCTGGGATTGGCCAGGTACAGCAAGCCCACCCCACAGACAACTGAGAGCAGAGCCCAGGACCCGAGACCGTGCCGGCTGCCGCTCGTGGCACATCGGAGGCCCTGCAGCTGGTCTTTGGCGAGGACGAGGTCCGCAGGGACTGACAGACGGGCTCTCACCTGACTCGGGTCCTGGGGGGGCTGCTGCGTCACAGGGTGGGGCCTGGCTGCATATGAAGGGGTCGTGCATAGTCTCAAAGGCCCGTCGAGGTCTCAGATGGCGGAAACCCTGAGGGCCTCTCGGGGACTCCCGGGGCGCCGAGAGGTGGGCCCTGCTCTCTGACACCTGAAGCCCCTAGTTGTCGTGGGAGGAGGCAGAAGAGGAAGGCACAGGCTCAGGGCGCCTCCCCATAGGCCCAGTACTGGTCGGCGATGGTGCAGGAGGTTGGGGGAGAGGCGGATGGGCAGGCAGGAGGTGGGGTTCAGGAGGGAGGCCCCCAGGCCTGCGTGAGCAGGGGGCACTCTGACCCTGGGCCCAGGGAAGGTCCCTGAAATACATGGCTTTTGGGGACATTGTTCCTGGCTGACCTGAGGACCTCACACAAAATTAAAAGCCAGGGTGACGGCAAAGCCAGGTCTGGGGGGCCAGTGCCACTCGCCCCGCCCCCATGCGTCACAGACAGCAGCCCCCGCTGTCTCTCCCTGTCCCGCTCTGGGGCCTCTAGGACGAGGGGAATTAAATATCGTCTGTTCGTGTTTTGGCAAAGTCAGTCCTTGGCCTCGGTCCCCGGGGCCCGGAGCAGTTACCGCCACCGGGGCCCGGCCGCCGAGAGGAGCAGGGTGAGGAGGAACATCAGGAGGGCCGGGCAGGGCCGGGGGCAGCCCGCGGCCGAGGCCTTCGGGCCCTCCCGCTCCGACAGGCCCGGGAGGGCGTGGGTCAGGGTCGTCCGCGAGCCGGAGGTCTTCCTGTTGACCCGCCGTCCGCAGGCGTCGTCCAGGCAGCCGTCCCCACTACCTGAGCTGCTGCTGCCTTCGTCACCTGGGGAGAGGCGAGGCTCAGACAGGCCCCCCGCCCTGGGGCCCCGAGCGAAGCCTCCCTCCAGGGGGGCCTCCCATGCCGGGTGGCACCGACTCGGGGCAGCTGGCACTGCCAGGGTTTGTCGAGGCTGGAGGGACGTCCCAGCCAGTTCTCAGCTGTGCTTGGGGACACCTGGGGGCTGGGCTGCAGCAGCCCCCTCAGAGCCAGTGGAGCAGGGGTGGGAGGACCCTTCCCCTACACCCTTCCCCAGTGGGATGGGGCTCCATGGCACCCCGGCTCCAGCCCCGTGGCCCTCAGCCCCCGGCACCGTCCCCCCCCCAGCCTGCGCCTGGCCCTCACTGGCATCCTGGAAGTCGGCGTCCTCGCCGTTGTAGGCGCTGCGCAGCCGGTTGGTCATGATCTTCAGCTGCATGATCTGCTGGCGGATGGTCATGTCAGGCTTGGTGATGTCCACCTCCACCTCGGGGTTGTTGATCTGGTTGGCCAGGCCGTCGCCCATCACCTCAGGGAGATACCTGGGGCCAGGAGGGCAGCCCTGGGTGACCTCCTGGTCCCTGCAAAGCGGCGTCTCGCAAGCACACCCCTCCTCCTGCCCAGGGTGGCAGGTCTGAGGCCCCATTGGCCTTCAGGTGCCTATAGGAGCCCTTGCCGGCCCCACAGCAGCGGGGTGTGGGCACACTGGGCAGGGTGTATGCAGTGAGGAGTTGGATCAGGGCAAGAATTTGGCCCCCACCCAGCTTTCTGTATCCTGCTGTGTCCCATGTCAGGCATGACCACATGCAGCACAAGGCACCTGGTGCCTCCAGCCAGACAATGGGCCTACTGAGACCTCACAGGAGAGACACTGTCGTCGGCCAGGCGGCACCCACCGGCCCTTGGCCATCCCGTTCCAGCAGCGGTCGTCACTCGCGGCGCTCATGGCCAACTTCTCGCTGCACAGGGTCCCGGGGAGGCTGATCCAGAAGTCCTGGGCATCGCGGAGCTGGGCTTTAGCCTCAGAGACCTGCGGGGCAACAGTCAGGCCACCGGGCAGGTGCCCCAGCCCAGCCTGCCCACCTCTCCCCGACCCCCCGGGCCTGGCTGGCTGAGGGGCTGCTCACCAGCTTCTCCAAAGTGCCCGAGGGCGGCTTTTCCTGCAGCGCTAGCTTCCCCCGTGGCCGCTTCTCCTCAGACCCAGGGCTGTGAGGATTCACCTTGGGGCTCCCGCAGCCCTGGATGACCTAGGGGGGAGACCACAAGCGTCCTGTAGGGCACGAGGCGGAGTCTGGGACACCCCCCCACCCACCACACCCCCCCATCCGCACCTTGGCCGTGAGAGTGTCTCTCTTGTCCTGGAGGGCACTGATGGCCTCTGCCAGCCGCAGGTGCACACTGCTGATGGCGTTCTCCGCGCCCGCCGGGCCCCAGAACTTGTCCGTGATGAGCACCATGGAGTCTGGCACAGGCATGGGCACACACAGGCAGTCTGTCTGTCTGCATGCCACCCACCTATGTTGGCACATGCAAGCTCACACGCGCCGACAGGCACACACCGCACCGGCCCAAATGTCAGTTCAGAGACAGGTACACGTCGGCTCACACGTGTTGATATGGATGTGTGCTGGCCCCCTCACGTCAGCACATGTGTACATGCCAGTACATGCATGTCATGTGTGCTTTGGACCCATGCCAGCATGTGCACAGCAGCAAGTACGTATGGTCCCACTGTGTGTCAGCATGTGTACGTGCCAGCTGACCTATGTCAGCAACATACATGTGAGCTCATGCATGTGTTGGCCCACCATGTCACACACATGTTGGCAGGTGTGCGTCCTGGTCCATTACGTGTCTCATACCTGTTGGTGTGTGTGCTAGGCCACATGTGGGCACATATCCGTGTTAATTCACGCACATGTTGGCCCACCTTATGTCACACACATGTTGGCATGTGTGCATGTTGGGCCCTCACCCGGCGGGGAAGGACAGGAACTGTGACCCCACGGGCCCCCTCCCAGGCAGCTGCCCGTGTCATGCTCCCCCCGGAACATTCAGAAGGAACCCTGTCCCTCGACCACAGGGACCATCTGCCTCCCAGGGCCCGGCTAAGCTGGCGGCGGTGGCAGGGAGGGCTCACCCAGGAGGTTCCTCCACTCGGCATCCAGGTCGGCCTGGTTGGCCAGGCAGCCCTTGAGCACGTTGCGGCAGTAGTCGGGGCAGGGCCGGGCACCGGGGACCCCCAGGCAGTGCGCGCAGTACAGCAGCTTCATGACGGCCCGCGAGCACTCGGGGCCCAGCGGCACCTGGGGAGCCAAGGCAGCCTGAGCACCTCGTGGCGTGTGCCCGGCCCCCCAAGAAGCCCCAGGGCGAGGGCTCTGGGCAGTTCTGCTCCAACCACAATGGGACGTGCCTGGCCCTTCTCAGGGGTCCCGGCTCTTCTCAATGGGCCCAGTGGGTGCTGGCCATGGGGGCGCTCGCCCTGATCACCACTCCCTGTCCCACTGTGTCACCCTCCCAGGGATGCCCTCCTATAACTACAACTGCCGCACAGGTGAGGGGGNCACTCCCTGTCCCACTGTGTCACCCTCCCAGGGATGCCCTCCTGTAAATACAACTGCTGCACAGGTGAGGGGACCAAGCTCAGGGCTGAAGGGTGACTCGCTAAAGACCCCAGCTGGAGGGAGAGAGGGCTCACACCCAGGGCGGTGGGCAGTGTGGGTTTGAGGCTAATGCTCTCCCACACTTGTCACCGGGTGGGTTCGACATGGGCTGCTCAATGGGACGAGGCACCGGCCTGCATGGATGGCCTCAGGCCCTAGCCCACTCCAGCCTCCAAGCACACATCGCTCTCTCCTGTCCACCTGACCCCTGGGGCTGGCTCAGCAACCAGCCTCAGGCCCTCTCTCTTCCCTTTCTGCCTGGGACCCAGTCTGGTCAAGGATGGGACTGGACAGTGGGTGGGCTGCCCAGAGTGGAGCTCACATCCTCTGATATGCTGTCCAAAGGTCCCCAGGGTCAGCAACCAAGGGTCAGGAGGTGGCACAAAGGCCCAGGAGCCCAGGAGGCTGAGATGCAAAGTATTGGGGCAGGGCATGGGTCCCTGAGGGGCTTCTGAGAGCCCTGGGCATCTGGGCGCACCTGGGCCACCTTCCGGACCACGTCGCCAGCCACGCCCAGGCCCTGCACAAAGGAACGTGTAGCCACAAAGGCGCGGGTGGCTCGCAGGCGCAGCTCGCGTGGGGCGTCCCCGAAGGGCCGCAGGGGCTCAGCCTGCTTGCCCAGGCAGTCCAGGTAGTCATCAGGCAGCAGCAGCTGGGGGTGCAGCTGCCGGAAGAGGCGCTCAAGCAGGCGGGCCCAGAACTCGGCCAGCGTCTCCTCTAGGTGCAGGTTGGCCCCGCGGTAGTAGAGGCGCAGCTCCGCGTACAGGTCACGGAAGGCCTTGGTGTTCTGTGTGTACAGGTCCCCGAAGGCGCCGGGGAAGGAGTCCTGCAGCGCCCGCTCCGAGTCGTTCAGCAGGTGCTGGAAGTGATCTGGGCATGGGGAGGTGGCCGTGAGGTCCCCACACACAGGACAGACCCGAGTGCTGGGTGTTCCGTCCATGTCCCACCTGCCCCTCCCCAGGTGGCCGGGGAAGATTTGCTCCAAGGCTCATCGTCAGAGGAAAGGATAGTGTGGACGGCCCAGCAGGGACAGGCAGGGCCTAATGAGCTGAGGCCAGTTCAAGCTGGCTGGGCCCAGCACTCATGGGGAAGTGACCTCGGGGTTCCTGGCCCCCTGGGAGCCTGTGAGGTCAGCTGTGTGGACAGAAGGCCGGGAGCCGAGATCCACAGGTCTTGGACGAAAGCCACGTGGGCCCCCTGATCTCTCAGGCTCATTGCCCCATCTCGCCAGCACCGCCAGGCGCCTTCTCCCTCCATGGAGACCTCGGTTTAGAGGTCACTTCCTGAGGAACCCCCCCGACTGCACCCATTTAGGCATCATGATGTCGTCCCAACATTCACCGTACAGAGCCCCCTGCTCTCTCTCCACAAGAACTAGGAATGAATGCCAACAACGGCAGCTACCCTAGAGGTATGACCGTCACACCGGGGGCCAAAACTCTTCCTGCCCCCACCCCAGGACAGGCCCAGCACACTGCGGCCAGGCCAGGCCCTATCTCAGCCCTCACACTGAGGTCCCTGCTCCAGGCCACCTGGTGGCCAGCACAAGGCTGGTCTCAGGAGAGCTCCACCTGTGAGAGGAGCCACCTTGAGGGCAGAGGCCCCCCCAGGTGAGGTCCCGCGTGCCCAGCTGCCCACTCTTGGGGTGTCCTGCGGTCCCCGAGCCCTGGGGCCCACTCACCATCAAAGCTGCGCAGCTGGGAGGCCAGTGTGGCCTGCAAGGCGCGGCTGCTGTCCAGGAGCGCCGTCTCCAGTTCCACGCGGCTGCGGTTGGCCAGGTTCTCCTCCATCTCGCTGGTACAGCAGGTGTATCCCTGGGGGCAGATCCGCAGATGCTCACCTGGGGGGGGGAACAGTGTGAGACAGAGGAGGGGTGGGAGGCTGGGGGTGCATGGACCCAGGCTGAGGCAGTCATGGGACCAGAGCTGGCCACAGACTGGCAGGGGTCTCCTGGGCAATGGGTGTGAACGGCAGGCCCCAGAGTGGGCACAGCTCAGGTGTAGGTGCCTGGATGAAGGCAGAGGAGGTCGGGGTGGGGCCTGGAGAGGCCTGTGCGGCCCCCTGCTCTTCACCTCCAGGCCCTCCTGGGCAAGCCTGGTGGGGTGGGGGTGGGCACAAAGCAGGGTGCAGAAGGCTGAGCCCAGGGCAGGACGTTGGGCCTCACCCCCACCCTGTTGCCACCATGCACTGAGGAAGGAAGGACACCCAGGGGCTGAGGCAGCTCAGGTCACATCTGTCCCCCAGCACAGAGCAGCTTTGGGGTCCTGTGTGTGTGTGTTGGGGGGTATGGGCTGCCAGACTCAAAGCTCACTGGAGGAGGCTTCCGACCTGCTTGGTGCCCCTCGGCTGCCCTGGCCCAGGCTGCGCATGGGTGGAAGGACCACGAGGGGCAGGCAGGGCAGCCTCAGCCTCCTCCCAACACCCCCCGGGGCTCAAGGTCCCACCGAAACACAGGTCCAGGTGGACCCGACCTATGATGGGGGTGCCAGGTGACAGGCAGTTCTGGGCTGGCCAGAGGCACTGGACCCAAAGGGCGCAGACCACCCTGGGAAGGGGGGACAGGGACCTCCAGGCAGGAAGGGATGGAACATGAGAACATCCCTGGCTACCGTCCTTCCCTCTCAGCTGCTGTCGCTGACTGATGTGAGGCCCTGGACCCCGGCCAGCAGGGGCAGGATACCGAGCAGGACCAGGGCCCTCTCCCCGGAGGTCCCAGCCTGCTGAGCAGATGCCAGTCTCCCAGAGGGTGGAGTACAGCAGTGGAATGAGGCCGTATGCACCCAACCAGGAGGAGCCGGACCCCTCCATGCTGACCAGAGGCCACCCACCCTGCCAGCCTCCCCCTCCAACAACAGGGACCAGGAGAGCACCCTTGGTAAGGACCCTCGCCTGACGCTTGGGGGTCGGGGTGAGGGGGTGAGCTCCGGGCATGCCCTGGGGGAGGAGGAGGGGCAGGTGCCAGCCTAGGCTCAGCTGTGATGGGTACTTAGGCCGCCAGGCTGGCTGGATCCTGGGCAGCAGGGGGGTGGCAACACAGCTCTTCAGAGGGGCTGCAACAGCGTGTCCACTCGCAGGCCAAAGGGGCAGCAGCATCCTGGGCTGACTGATCTCCTTCCAGAACCCTCCTGGTCCCCTAGTGGCCCACCCTCCCCCGTCCTGAAACCTGCCATTTATACAGACAGCAGAGACAGAGGCCGAGCACAGAGAGGCGAGTACAAAACACCAGACACTGGGAGCTCCTGCGGAAGGCGCCGAGGGCTCCTTGGCACCGTCAGCCCACCCGCTTCTCACAGCTGTGAGCTGGCCCCACCCCAGCAGCCTCCCTTCAGCCCCACTGGGCCCCGCCTGGCCACCTCGCCCAGCCGCCCGGTGACCTGCGCTGTTCCGGCAGCCCCAGCACAGCCCCCGTCCCTCCCTCCCTCCTTGGACACACACGGGAGTGAAGACACGGAGCCAGAGCTCGGACACCGGCCTGAGGCCCCGGGCAGGCTGGACCAAGGCGGCCCCCCAAGCCCGCTGCAGGGCAGACACGGTGGCTGGAGGTCAAGGTGCAGAGGCTTTGCGCTTCCCCTCTGCCCAGCCCTGGCACCGCTCAGCCTGGGGATAGGTTATCCGTTGGTCCTGGACATCAGAGGTGGGCTCTCCAGGGCACCCCCTTACAATGCAAGCCTGCCCCTCCTGGTCAGAGCCAAAGAGTGCTGGGGGCGGGGGTCTGCCAGAAGAAGGGATGAGCTCCCTGACCCTGGAGGTGTGCAAGTCAGACCGAGGGATTCTCTACTTGCCATTTCAAACCCTTCCACCCCAAACCCCTATGTCTTCTCTCAGCTCAATACCTGGAAAAGGGTGCGGACCAGGTCAGGGGTCCGGTCCTGCTCCCCCCACCCCATCCACTCTAAAGCGGCAAGTCCAGTCCTCTCCCCCACCCCACTCCACTCCCCACCACTTGGCCTTTCCCCTCCCCACTGACCCCTCCGGGCAGAGACTGTGCCCCCAGCTGGCCAGCGAGGGACAGCCTCCCTCCTTTCCGCCGGGTCCCTTGCTGGGTTCTGCACAGCTGCCCACATCCTTCCAGAGCTCTCCCTTCCTGAGTCTTCCGGATGCTTCCTCCTCCGAGGTTCCCGGTTTTTTGAGGGGAGAGGAGAGGGCTGTTTCAGGCCCCCAACTCTGAGATGGGCGCTCCTGCTCCTTAGTCAAAGTACCTGCGCCTGCTTCCCTGGCTGGGGTTCAGACCTCCTGGGGCCACCCCAGACTCCTGCGGCTCCTCACTACCCCTCCCCGAGTCTGTGTGGCTCGCACCCTCCTGCCACCTGCTGACACGGCCCCCAGCCCTCCTGTCTTACCCAACAGGCCGCCTCCCAAAGGCGTCCCCATTCAGCAGCCACCCCACCAGCAGGGTCACCCCAACGCTTTAACCCAAGACCCCATCCCAACACTGGTCATCATCTCTGATGCTGGACACATCTCATTTGTCCAGGCCCAGCCCAGCAGCCCAGCGGCTGGTGGCCGTAGAGCCCTCCCAAGGAGACGGCAGGGGGAAGATGGCGTGGTGCCCAGCCCCTCTCTCCAGAAGCTTCCGCGGCTCCCAGGGCTGTGCACACTGCCAGCTCAACCACCGTTAAAGCCACCCCCAGGGGCTCTGCACCCACTGACCCAGCCACCCCCTCTAATTCAGTGGCCTCCCTGGACCGTGCTGGAACAGGGGACATCGACACTCCCAGACACCGGAGCCCCCGACACCCCGAGGGAGGGCGCAGGTCTGGAGAGGCTCCGTCCCGCACCCCTTCCTCAGCCTGGATCCCACAGCAGGCTTGGCCGGCTGACTGCAGGCCGGGGGTGCAGGGAGCCTCCCCAAGCAAGAGCCCCTTCTCGGGGCAACTGCCCCGCGCCCACCCTGCTCCTGGACCCACCCAGCAGGATCCTCCGGACATACCCGCCAGCTTGCCGGGCAGGGCACTGGACGGATGGTGGGAGGTTCCCTGGGCACTGCCCACTGTCCGGCTCTGCCCGCCACCCCCAGCCTTCGCCCCGGCCAGTCCCTGTTGCACTGACAGTCCCCCCATGAAGGCGGCTTCAGACACCCCCCCAGGGCGAGGACATTCCGAACCCCTCCCGGGCACCAACACAGCAGCTGCGAGGCCCCCCCGCTCCCCGCGCCTT